ACACTCAAGCAAATATCATCAATGTCCTATTAACACGGCATCAATACCAAATAATTTTTAAATTCAACCAAATTTCTTTAATATCTCTTGGCTAGCTAAAACACACACTACAAAAATCTAATATTGCACTTGCATTATTATTGCTAATTCAAAATCACACAGTTACAACAATTGCAGTTTTATTCTACTTCCAAGTACACTACGACAAGAAATTTCGAATTTTTCATTATTTGTCAGATATATACGAGTATCATATTACCGCACAAACAGAAATCTACAGACACTGATGCATGTTACAAGTATGCCAATCGAATCTTTTGGCGTCGTCACAGAGATAATAGAACCCAGACCCTTTTAAAGCTCATATCATGCCTACAGATGCTAACTTCAGAACATGTTTAAAGAAGATCCGGTGTACCCCACTATGATGACCACAACGTTTTCGATATGCAAGTGGGGTAAGAGTTAGATATTCGATTGGTCTTACTACTCTTCTCTATTGCTATGCATCCTGCTATTATCATTAAAAGCATTGCAAGCACTTTTCGGATTATCTAACCCTTGCACAAGTGCACACTCAAATTTGATAAACTCTCTCCTTAGTGAAATGATTTCATCACTGGTTTAGCAGTGCTGCATGCAGGGCAAATGGTACATAAGGCACTACCATGGTTCGGAGTTATTACCAAGAAAATTTTTAACGTATGAGGGCTTGCTCCAACCTTCCTCCATCGAAATGAGGTTGAGGCGTATCATCAGTTTTTCCACAGCATCATCCTCCAGGGAGCTCGTTGGATCAGAGGATGGCTTTTCTAGTGAAGAACTCTGTAATGTTAAATAGAATTCCTTAGTCTGTTACAACATAAAAGTCATTAAGTCGTGTTACAGAAAATTGTACCTTCGCTTCCTGATACAATTTGAGATATTGCAGAGATTGCTCATAAAGTCCGCAATGATAGAGAAGAATGCTGTAATCTCTTAATTCCTTGACATCAGTTTCCATGAGAATAAGACGCTCGCACGCTGTAACAATAGTAACAGTTTCCAGATGAAAAATATGTATGCCAGAGCAATGCATGTAGAAAAGATTTTAAATGAAAAAAGAAAAAAAATTAGAGAAGAATATATAGTGAGAAGGAAATCATTTCACCATCATGTTAATTCTCTAAACAGTCAAATATCCGAAAACAGAAATAAGTTATTTATAGGGTTAAAACGTTACTAAAAAGAAAATTAGAAATTTACCCACACAAGCAAAGGAATACTAAATCAACACAAGTAAGGGAGAAATAGATAAAAAAATTCCAGAATAAAAATAACTCCTCTTTCCATAAAATAACTTCTGTAAAATCTTAAATCTTGGCCTCAAGAATGCAAATAAAACAACGAGGAGAGGAGAAAGCATAATGGGATATGGGAACAAAGATCTTCAAGTGTCCTTTATCTTCAAGCTGTCTTTATGTTCACCTTAACTTTACACTTTCTAGATCGAACATTTTAAAAGTTCCTACTCAACTCAATATACAAAATGACTAGGAATTTCTTCCGACAACTCTCAAAATAAATGAAAATTGTTAAACAAATACATGGCAGTACTATATTAATAACTCCTTTCAGAACTAAATATGCCAAATCATCGTGGGTCCAAAGTGCATCAAGTGCATGGAAGAGGCAGCAAAATCCTTCAATCTCTATGGCTTTACATGAATCACATGCCAACAACAGCATGCCAAACGTATCTTGTTTTTTTTTTTTTTTTCTCATATTCTTGCATAATCAGCGCAAGTACAGAAAAGAATATACTAAACACATCTATTATCTTACAATTACATACCAGCTAATGCACGTCTCATATCCCCAAAGCGTACACTGGTCCAAACACCACGCTCTAACCTGTGTTTAGCAGCCTTCGCTGATGCAAGCTGCAAGCCACTGCAGTAGAAAAATAATGAAATCAGAATAAATAGAGCCCAAGGGGGGGAGGGGAGGAGAAAGAAATCTCAGTTGAGATTATAAAAACTACAAAAAGTTTTCATATAATCACAGGTTAGTTTGCAATATAGCTCAACTACCTGTCTTCACTGTCTAATTGTTCAATACAGTTAGCAGCATGTGCTGCCCTTAAGAATAAACTCCGGGAGAAATCATGTTGAAATGGCCAGAAAGCACTCTTTAAATTCCTTAAAATCTGCACAGCATTGTATAGTATAAACTGAAGCAGGCACTACCATACATAAACCAAATAAAGAGCCTGAAAGATAGCAGCCATGCCGTGAATGTAAACAGGAACATCTCACAAAGAATCCAAACAAGACTCAATTGCTGTGAATGTCGGCAATGATATGCTAAACTCACACGAAATCACATTTCTATGCTTTCTCAAAATGCATATTTCTGGGGAAAACTTTAATTTGACTCTCTTTGTATATCTAATTCTAGCATTCAATATGTCCCCCAGCGATGTTCTTTTTCTATTCTATTTTTTTTTTTTAAATAACCCCTGCATATATCATGTATTATTAATGTTGCAAAATATAAATGAATCTCTACGCTTAACTTCAATTCAAACGCATTAAAGTGGAATTGCTTACAATAATCTGATAAATGCATATGAATTTCATAAATCTTGTGAATGTTTAACATGCAGTCTTTCTGAGAAATTAGAGTACATGCATTATCAAATTAGTTAACTAACAATTGTCAATAAAAGCAAATATTACACAAACATTCATCTAAACAGCATCATATTGCATTTTTTCTTCAATTGAATCTCACAGAGAAATACTCCTGATCTAAGTATGATGATCCAACTATGAGAATAAAAAAAGAAGGAAACACAAAAATCAATAATCATTCCCAAATTCAACTAACTCATATATGACAAAACGTAATAGAAATCATTTCTAACATTTTCACGGGTAAAGTGCACACATTCAAGTACCATAATGGATCTTCGGTGTTCTTTCCTTAATTTCCCAAATGCAATTTGTCATATGCTAATTGCAAATTATTTACTTTAGTTCCTTAGTACCATATTGGTCTACCTAATAAATCTAGCAATGCAACGAACTGAAAGTGGGAGAGAAAATACAACCCTTTATCTTCCAACACAAATGAGTCCACAATTGATTTGCTGATTAGTTCCAGAAAACAGTTATCATGACACAGATATTTGTTCACTTACCATTTACCCTTTGTAAGAAGAAAATATGAAAAATGGAGAATTCAATCTTTATTTAAGAATTGAAAACACAAAACTTAAAAAAGATGTCTTCCGTCCTTTCATTCTCTAAATTTTATATTTATCATAAGAAAATGATAGCAAACACATTTTTACTGTTTTTATTTTCAGATACTGTATTCAAAAAATAATTTTTTTTACTGTTTTTATTAACACAATTTCAAATTCCGAGAACAAAAAGTAAAACTCCTTATTTTTATTTTCAAATGCATTTTTTTTTTTTAAAACAAAAACACCAAATAACATATATCTAGTATCTTAGCTTAACAGACTTGAGGTTTGCTAAATACAGGAAAGAAAAATAATACAAATGTGAGCAAGTATATAAAAGTACCTCCTCCAACAATATTTGCACAGTCATAATGTGTGACTGATCAGATTCCCTGCTCTTCTGCTTCTGATATCCCCTAGGAAGACCATGGTCAAGAGGGAATGCTATCTCCACGTCAAAATCTACAAGGCCCCATAAGCGAAGCATTTTCAGGATTTCTGAGTATACAAGCGATAGCATAACAGCGGAGCCTGAGCGATGTGTCAAAACCTGCTCATGATGTTAAGATAAATAACTGAAAAATTCCCTTATAATAATGTTTTCTCCAATGAGGAATATAGAATTGTTGAGAGAAGGAAGAATTCCATACTGAGTGAAGATATAGCGCTCTTGGATCTATTTGATTTCCCACACTGGTTCTCCGAAAACCCTAACATGAAATCATCAAATCAGGTATAAGAAAGCTCCACTGCCTGAAGATACACTATACAGTTTATTAAACACATTTTGGATTGATATAAAAGAAAACTGAAGCATATGAAGATTATGAAGAACTCTTTACATCATTCGGTACAGAGCAGGGGAGACACTTATTAGGACATTCTAGTTCTATAGGTTCTGCAGTCTGCTCATGTTTGCAAATTTATTTTATTCATTTTTTCCAATAGGATGCTGATTAGATGTATATCAATAGAAATTACAAAACTGGATCCGATTCCACAAGACTACAAAACGACTCCCAGCAGAGGGGAATCTGGAACTATACAAAGATCATTCCAAATCCACTACATTACATGTTTGGTACTTTAATGTGTATCTCAAGACCAGTTCAAATGGACTTAGTTAGCTATGAGTGAAAAAGCATTACTGAGATCACACACACAACACAAACACGCATGATAATGCCAACCTGCTGACCACTTACACTATATAAACTTCTAAGTGTCATAAAAATACAAAAATGTACTCCTTCTTTTTCTGCATTTCCTTTTATTTGAGTAAACAAAAAGATTAGCTTAGAAAAATTACCAAGAATACAAAATTAACCACTGTAAACATGCCTACCAACCTTTTTATCAAACAAATATCTCTCTATACTATCCAAAAAATTTTCTCGTGATGACTTCAAAGATGAGTTATAATGAGGGCAATATCCCACAGAAAGATCATCCAATCGGTCGATGAAAGCATCCACAGGGAGAGGAACTGATGAATGTGATATCAGGGAGTCATCCTCTGCTGCTATATGAAGAGCTGTTTTCCCCAAATCAACACATCTATTAATGCTAATACTGGTTTCCCTTTCAATATTGGATAATTTATTGATCTGAGAGCAAAAACCCTCTCTAGCCTCCTGTTTAAACATAAAAAAAGAATTGAAATTAAAGAATTTAACTTTCATATGGAATAAAGAGATGTAAAGTAGTTAACATATTATTCAATTTACTCATCCCACTGATATAATCAGAAAGCACAAGCATGTTTTTCTGGTAAAAACAATGGCAAACACGAATCACCTGGTGCACAAATTTAACAAACATTTTCTTTTTTGTTTTTATTTCTTTCATCCTTTTGGAAGATACAATGCACATCAATTTGAGCAAATGGTAATATTTCTCGGTTCACTACGAAAAGTAATTGGCACACCTTTAACCTAGTAGTAGATAAATGGATACTTAAGCTATGAACAAGTCCTGGGTAAATTAGGTTCAAACCCTTCATTAACCACAGTCATTAAGATTCACCAGATTATAGTTAATTGTCTCCTTGGAATGTCCTTATCAGTCCTCTAAAACACATTTGTTTCCTTTTGCCAAAATTTATTCAAGAAAATTAGGGGCCAGTTGGTATTGCTTTAAGAAAATGTTTTGACAAAATGAATTCAAAAAATGAAAACAATGAAATGCATTCAAAGTTTTATTTATTTATTTTTTGTGAAAATGAGAACAATATATTTTAAGCATACAATAGTACAATACCTTATATAAAAATTCTTAATAATCTTAAAAATAAAGTTAAAATTACTTAATTTGTTTTGTTATTTTGGGTAGGATTTTTGAAATAGTATTGTTAAGTTGAGTTGGGTTATTATTACGAGAATAGGATTTGAATAAAATGTGTTTGATAGAGTGTTACTTGAATATTGTGCCAAAGGTGTATTTTTGAAATAGGATAGAGAATAGTATCTGAAATGGTAAACCAAACACACCCTAAACAACTCAAAAGTGCTTAATGATTTCGAGAAAAACCCAAGAGCAAGCAATGCACAAGCTTTTTCTATTTTATGAAAAAAAAGTCTCTAAAAATAATTGAAATGTGTTTTTCTTATTTTCTGAAGATATATAAAAAAAAAAAAAAAAAAAAAAAAAAATTCTCAGGAGACATAAATGAGCAGCTCTCATGTCTGCAAATACAAGATCATCTTCCTTTTTCTTCATAATCAAAATTATCTTCTCATTTACAGTCAACATCTTCCGCAATTATGAAGAATACATATATGTGTGTGTGTAAATCAACATCTTCCGCAATTATATATATATAGAAAATAAAACATCTTGCAGAAGTCTTAGCCATTAATTTTCAACAAATTCTTTAGTCATTCAAGGATCTTTCATGCATAAGATTAAAAATCCATTAACAAAAAAATTTAACTTCCAAGGATTCGCCTCTTTTCTTGATTAAATGGAATATTACCTACGAAATATATTACCTACTAATTTCATTTTCACATGTAATTCTTACCATAAAAGCACTTATAAACAAATATTCTAGACTTCCACAGATAAACCAAATTCAATAATGAAAGTTCTGTAATGACACTGAAACCGGAACCCTTAAATGCAAAAGATCATGTGAAAGAGATAAGATTCAAATTTGCTTATATCCAAGGTTAAAGATTCCAAATAAATTCCATTCCAGAAGTAGAAATTGTGAAACGATCTGGGCCCTTTTCATTTTTCGAGGATTAAGTTTGCATACTACAATATAATATGGAAACTAGAAATTACAGAAGTACAAGACCACTCTGACACTGGCTTATTAACATCCAGGCCCCAGACAATGAAAACAGTAACAGTTATGGCCTATGGGTCATGCATTATTTATTACTAAAATGATCTAGTATTACAATTCTTATTTTGTTATTAATTTGAGACTAAATACTATAAATATGACGTTGCTTCAATATTTTCACCCACAGAAATACAGAACAAGACCAACAACGTAATGTGTGAAAAATCAACAAACCCAAATAACAAAAACTTTTAGAATTTGCAAAACAAGAAGATAAAAATTAATCTGACTAGAAGAAAAGCATCAAACTACATGATAAACAGACATTTTAATATTATAAACATGACTTCACTATGATATCACCAAAGAAATACACAAGACCAACAATCTAAATACCAAAAATCAACAAACCCAGATGGAAAAAGTCACTTAGATTACATAGAATCATATGGAGAATATCAATCTGGCTCATTAAGAGGACCAAAGTTCCTGAAAAGCAGACATGCTAAGATTATAAATATAACAGGAGCAACAATGTAAAGCACTGAAAATCAACAAACCCGGACAGCAAAAGCACTTAAATTGCGCAAAAGCACAATATAAACATTAATCTGACTCAATAAAATCGTAAAAAATCCATGAAAAACATACATTTTAATGTTATAAATATGACTTTGCAAGGAAGATCCACAATATAAAACACGAAAAATAAACAAACACAGATAGCAAAATCACATAAAAAACATCACTATGGCTCCATAGAAACATCAAAACCTAAGAGAAACAAACATGCTAATGTTATAAATATAACAAGACCAACAATCTAAAACACAAAAAATCATCAAACTTAGATAGCAAATCACCTGAATTACTTAAAATCAAATGAAGAACATCAATATGGTTCAATAAAAGCATCAAAAACAAAGAAAAACAAACACGTTGATATTATAAATATAACAAGACCAACAATGCAAAACACCAAAAATCAACAAACCCAGATTGCAAAATGACTTAAAGTAAAGAAATTCAGATGAATAGCATCAATCTGACTCAACAAAGGCATGAAAATTCAAGAAAAAACACAAATACTAATCTTAGATATGACAGGGCCCATAAATTAAAACGCCAAAAACCAACAAACCGAGATAGAAAAATCACTTAAATTACGCAAAATCATAATATAAAAATTAATGTGACCCAATAAAAGCATCAAAATTCGTGAAAAACAGACACGATACATTGTAAATATAATAAGACCCCTACAAACCCAGATAGAAAAAGCACTTAAATTACACAAAAAGACAGGAACAAAATTAATCTGAGTCAATAAAAGAATCATAATTCATGTAAAACAGACACTTTTGTATTAGCAATATAATAAGACCCACACTGTAAAACACCAAAAACCACCAAACTCAGACGGAAAAGCAATTAAATTACACAAAAACCACCAAATTCAGACGAAGATAAAAATTAATCCGTCTCAGTAAAAGCATGTAGAGGATGAACATAAATCAATAAAAGAATCAAAATTGATTGAAAAAAAGAAAAAAGAAAAAAGAAAAAAGAAAAAAGAAAAAAGAAATGAGCATGATTACTCGGGCATAGGTTGTATCGATTCCAGTAGAGTCCAAAGCGTCGTGCAACGCCAACTTCAGCTCACTCGCGGCGTACGGCGCGTGGGATCCGCCATGGCACACCACCCGGAAACACGACGACGAGGAGGACGACGGCAGCGGAAATTTAGAGAATTTCGGAGAAGAACAAAACGACGCCGCAGGGTATAAGGAAAGAGTCATGATTTACAAAGAAAGAGATGAGAGAATAGAGAGAAAATAAACTCTAATTATTGGAGGGAGGAAGAAGAGAAAGTGAAGGTTTTGTTTGGTAGAAAATGACTGATAAGTAAGAGAAATTAAAAACATCAAGGCTGTGCATGAAAAAGACAAAGCTTTGGAAAGTGACTGATATGTCGATCTTTTTGAGATTTTTTATTTTTGAAAAACGGTTACAACATATCACTTTTTAGTTGGAGTAGGAAAATAAATAATATACTATTTTACTAAAAAAGTCACCACAGCTTTGAAAAAACCTTTAATTTAGCCATTTGTGAGTGGAAAATAATTTTTAAGATTAATTTATTAATATTTTTAATATGTTTGACATGATATTTAAAAGTAGTTTTCAAAATTAGAAGTTACAAAAATGTGAGAAAACTAGTCTTCTTTTTTGGATTTTTAAATTTATATTAGTTTGTAAATTGTTTTTAAAAAATTATATTTAAAAAAACATTTCAACCCATCTTAATAATATATATTTTCATAAAATTTCTTATTATTTTTTTTCCCCAAAAAACCAAAAACTATATTTAAATATTATGTGAAATGAGAGAGTACAAAAACATATTTTTTTTTTTAATTATAATTGACAACCGTTAGATTTTAATAAATGAATTATCAATGTTTTTGTTAAAGTTTTTAACTTTGGCATTTAAATTCTAATATCACAACCCTTATAAAAATAATAAAATACGAGCGCCAAGATGCTATAAATGTTTTATTTTATGGTATTAAAAAGAAATATAAACTAATAATGTTAGTAGCAAAATCTCAAAATTATCCAAATCTCACACTAATGTTTAAAATAGCTACCAACATTCCAAAGGTTTTGAAATTATTCATAATTAATGCATAAAATATCATTAAAAGTATGAAGAAAAATTAAAATTTATTCTTATGATTTTATTTAAATTATTTACCTAAGTAAATATTACTTAAGTGTACCATTACTTTTTTTTTTTTTTACTTTTTAATGTTATATGTAACAATGAAACTGGCTAATCACTATTTAGGAATTAAAAAAAGAAGTAAAAACCCATGAGCTTAAGAACATGTTCTCCACATAGATTACGATGCAATTTTTTAAAATATTAGATAAAAACACTTTTAATGACTAAAATTCAGAGAAAATTAAAACTTGATCTCATTTTCTACTGAATGTTCTATGTCCAATATAAATGAACTATATTTTTGTTATGTTGTAAGTTGTCGAACATTAGTTTTTTAGGTAGATGCAATCGAACACATACCCATTGACTTTACTTTTAAATATGTTAGAACCCAAGTTTAAGGCAGATTTCAACTGAAAAGACTGGTCTGATAAGTACGAGAGATCCTAAGCTAAATTATGACATTTGGTGGGTGTGATATCCCGATATGGGATCCTAACAAAATATTATTTTTAGACAAACATGTATAATGACTTTTTATTTGTTGTTTTCTATTTCGCAGATACTGTTTTCAAACAATTATGTCAAACATGTTTCCAATCTTTGAAACTGTATTATTCAAACATGTTTCCAATCTTTGAAACTGTATTATTTAAATAAAATTATATACATTTACTTAAAATATTGAACAAAATATATTACTTTCTTTAATTGCTTATTGAACGAAGGTAATACAAAATCTTCTTAGCATTATAGTTTATGTTTAATTTGTTGGAGTCAATACTGAGGTTTCAAGTATTGGATTATTGTATTGGATCATTTTAATCTGATGAGTGTTATGGATCAAAAGATTTTATATAAAATAAAACTATGATCTTGCCATCAATACACAATCTTGGTTAATTATATATTTAGAACATGGTTTTTTAGCTTGATAAGGTCCCCAAATGTTATTGGAGTAATACTACATATACAAACTAATTATACAAACAATTTCTTACAAATCGACTTGAGAACCTTGTATGTTTGACACATCATCTCCTCTAATTTGTTAAGTTTATCCCTAATTTAAAATCATGTAATCATATTAAAACATATCAATTTGTATAAGTGAGTTTGTATGGGAAGTTTGTATATGTAGTATTATTCATGTTCTTGTTTCATTTTCTTAATAAATTATATTAGATGTACAAACATTTTGTACAAACGTTTACATATAAACTGATTTGATATTAAGTGAATTGATGAATTTATACGTAAGTCAACTCCATAAATGTTGAAAGATCAATAAAAAAAAAGAGTAATGCTACACCTATAACCTCTTCTCACAAACTTACTCTCACAACCCTAATGTGACAGCTCGTAATTGGTCAGTCGCAATTTATCAGGTGGGACCCTGATCCGTTTACAAGTCCTAAAACACTTGTAAACTTGAGTGGAAAAAGAATTGCAGGTCTTCTTGTAAATTCAGTTGAATCAAATGAAGCCATTCCAAGTCCTAAACACTTGGTACATGACATGTGGATCTTAATTGATGGTAACTCGGCTCGAGCCCAAGGAAAAGAACCAGCCCAAGTTGAGCAAGAAGACAATTCAGATCCGGCCTAAGCTCAAGGAGATAAACTAGCTCAAATTGTGCAAGGAAAATGATACATCTCGGCCAAAGCCCTTTCAAGCACTAATTCATCAAGTGAAGTCCAAGTCCAAGTCCAACAAATAAAAGACCCAAGTATTCAAGAAGTCCAAAATAGCCCATTATCCAAGCCCAAAGAGCATTCCCATGCTATTTCATTTTGGGTCTATTTCAATGAATTCCAAAGCCCTAACTCATGTACTCTTATTAGTAGGATTTAATTACTTTTGTTATGTTTTAGTTAGTCATCCTAGGTGGCATGTTTACTTTTGTTATGTTTTAGTTAATCATCCTAGGTGACATGTTTACTTTACATAACCTAGTTAATTTCTTTGTAATGCCACTATATAAACAAACTCTCTCTCATTTTGTAAGGTTGAACAATGAAATGAAAATTAAACACTTAAGAGGAATGATTTTCCTTTTGTTTTGAAATCTTTATCCAAGTCTTGATAAGGGATTTGGTGGTGATTCAACTTCAAGTTGGTGGAGAAATTCTTTATGCTTGAAGGCCTTTCTCGTCTGTATCCTTTACATTCAAGTAAGTTATTTTGTATTCTTTTCTACCTTGGCTGAAATCCTTGTGTTTGTTTTTAGCCTTGTCCGAATCTGGTTGGTGTGTCTTGTGTTGTGTTTTTGTATGGTTTGGAGTTGAAATCCCTTTGTTTGGTGAAATCATGCATGAAGGTTGTGAAAGGGTCTTGTTTGCCGAATCTATGCATGTGAGTTCTTGGTTTTTTGTTGAGTCTTCATGGAGGTTTTGGATCATTTGGTATTAGAGCTCTAGGTTGTGTATGTGTATAGTGGTTGTTTGTTGAATTTTGTGGAGTTCCGATTTTGGGATGATGAAGTTGATTTGTTCTTGAAGGAGTTTTGAGTTGCTTTGTTGTTGTTGTTGGGAGGAAGAAGCTTTTCACTAGAATTCTCTTCACCATTAGCTGGATTTTCCCTTACTAAAATTGCCCACTTTTTCTTTGAAACCCATTTCAAATTTACCTAACACCTACCACTCTTTTATCCACTGAACAATTCAACCCATCATCACATTAACCTAAACACTTCATACCAATTATGTATATTATCCTTTAAACACTCCATACCATTTATATCCATTACAAAAACCAAAACACTCCATACCATTTATATCTATTATCACTTAAGCACTCCATACCATTTAAAGCAGTTATCTCACTTTCCTAAGTTTTGCTTAGTAAACTTCCCATTTAACCATTTTTAGAAACAACTACTTTCCCAAAGCCACCCTTGTTTCACCATTTTTAGTAAAAATACTTTTACTAAGAATAGAAACACCTCCACTACACACTTCCTTGTCCCACCATTTTTAGTAAAAACACTTTACTAAAATTAGGATTACCTCACTAACTCGCTTCTATCCCCTTTTAGCAAAAGCACTTTTCCCATAAATAGAGTCAAACTATACCACTATTACCTAATTGCCCTTGACCATTTTACACTTACTTACACCACATTCATTGACCAAAATACCCCTTGACCCAAATTAAACACAAAAACCCATCAAACACTTAAACCCAATTGCCTAACCCAACTCGAAAGCTTCTACCACCATTCGCCATCATCGAAAAAGCACCACCACTATCCAGTGAGTACTGTTCCGACCAGCAACTGTTCACAAAATTACGGTTTTTCCCTTTTTGCCCCAAAACACCTTCTTTCAACTTTATTTCACCATAAACACTATCCTAACCCATCCTACACCCAAATGGAAAATAGAAGTAGTTCTTCTTCCCCTTCCCCACCATGTGAACTTGCTAACATGAGGATGCAAGGGGACGTTGATGACATTAGGCAAAATATGGACACCATGATGAAGATGATGAATAATATGTCCAATGATATAGCCAAAATAATCCAATCACAACCCATAAATAACCAATCCTCACACCACACACCCCAAATTCATGAACGTGTCAACAAAAAAAAACCCCCCTAAAACCAAGATTATCAATTGAATCAAGGAAGACGCCCCCACTATCACCAAAGAACCATAATTGGAACACCACCCCATGAAGAAGAAATGGCGGGCAACCTTGATTCCTCTAGTGAGTCTGAGATGCATGGAAGAGGGATGAGGCATTTTGATGATGATAGGGGTTAAAAAGTGGATTTTCTCGAATTCAATGGAAGTCTAAATCCTAATGACTTCATTGATTGGTTGCATGAAATTGAGAGAGTATTTGAGTTCAAAGGCTTCAATGAAGAGAAGAAATGTAAGATAGCCATATTAAAATTCAAAGATTATGCTTCCTTATGGTGGGAAAACACAAATAAGAAGAGAGCAAGGGAAGGAAAGGCTCTAATCTATTCTTGGGATAAATTGAAGAGAGTGCTTAAGAAGAGGTTTTGCCTGATCACCACAAGCAAGAACTTTATATTAAATTGCACAATCTAAAACAAGGTGATAGAAAGGTTGAAGAGTACATTCTGGAATTCGAGGGTTTAATGTTGAGGAGTGACATTCTCGAAGAAAATGAGCATACTATTGCTAGGTTCCTTGGCGGTTTGACTAGGGAAATAGTACACAAAATTGAACTGCAAACCTACAATTCCTTTGAAGATGTTTGTAAGCTGGTTATGAAAGTGGAAAAGCAATTGAAAAATATGAAATTGGCAGCTTTTAAGAAGTTCTTTAAGGAGAATTCATATCAAAAGGGATCACCTTCGTATACCAAGCCTTATGTTGCACCCACATGTTATGGTAAAGGAAAGATGAATGAAACACCAAAGGAGAAACAAAATTTTGCCAAGAATGAAGCTCTACGGGTTGACCTTAAGAATAAAAAGTGTTTCAAGTGTCAAGGCTATGGGCACTTTTAAGCAAATTACCCGAATCAAAGAGTTATGACTTTTAAGAAGATGGAATGATTGATGAAGCCTTTCAAGAAGAATTCAATGAAGAAAATGAGAGTGAAGATGAAGTCATTGAGGAGGCCGATCAGGGAGATTTGTTGATGCTTAAATGATTATTGCATACTCAAGTAAATTCCCAAGAAAATCAAAGGGAAAAATTGTTTCACACTTGGTGCATCGTAAAAAGGAAAGTATGTTCGGTTATTGTGGACAATGGAAGTTCTACTAATATTGCCTCTACCACACTTGTTGACAAGTTAGGACTCCTTACATTTAGTTATACACGTCCTTACAAGTTGCAATGGCTAAGTAATGGTGTTACGGTTCAGGTTACTAAATAAGTGGTTATACCATTCTCCATTGGTAAGAGGTATTCAGATGAGGTGATGTGTGATGTTATCCCCATGGATGCACATAATTTCCTACTTGGTAAACCATGACAGTTTGATCGAGAGGTGACTCATGATGGTCAGAAGAATACTTATTCATTTAGGTTTAACAAGAAAACCATCACCCTAGCACCATTATCCCCAACTCAAACACCATCCAAAGAACCATCACATAAAAACCTTCTTCTAAGTAGTACCCAACTAGAAAAAGCCTTCCAAAGCACAAAACCATCATTGTGCTCCTAATGGTTGAGAAGAATAAAGAGCTTAAGGAGTTCAACTTTCACCTAAAAATCCAACCCCTCTTGAATGAGTATGCTGATGTGTTTTCCAATGAGTTACCTAAGGGTTTATCACCACTTCGGGGCATAGAAGATCAGATTGATTTAGTGCCCAATGCCCCCTTCCTAATAGACCAGCCTACAGGTGCAATCTCCAACAATCAAAAGAGCTACAAAGGCAAATTGATGAGCTTATTTATATGTGTTTTATGGAAAAAAGTATAAGTACTTGGTCGATTCCAACCCTACTTGTACCTAAGAAGGATGGTACTTTCCGCATGTGTATAGATATCATTAAGAATAGGTACTCTATACTGCGGTTGGATGATATGTTAGATGAGCTCCATGGTACAACCATTTTCTCCAAGATTGATTTAAGAAGCAGATACCACTAGATTAGAATAAAAGAAGGAGATGGATGGAAGATGATTTTCAAAACCAAGGGAGGCTTGTATGAGTGGATGGTGATGCCTTTTGGCCTATGAAATGCACCAAACACCTTTATAAGATTGATGAATGAGGTATTGAAACCTTTCATAGGCAGATTTGTGGTTGTGTATTTGATGATATGCTTGTTTATAGTAGTTGTGAGGAGAGCCACATTAATCATCTTAGGCAAGTTCTTGAAATGTTGAGGAGACAAAAGCTTTATGCCAAGGTTGAAAAATGTGAATTATTTATGAAGAAAGTAGTGTTTTGGGATATGTAGTTTCGGGTGAAGGAATACAAATGGATCAATCTAAAGTTAAGGCTATTAGGAGTTGGCCATAACTTGGTTCCATAACAGAAGTTTGAAGTTTCAATGGATAACTTCTTTCTACCAATGGTTTGTGCTTAATTTCAACACAATTATGGCTCCTGTAACCGAGTGTATGAATAATGGAACGTTTAAGTGGACTAAGGCAACAAGCGAAACATTTGAATTGATTAAGGGAAAGCTGTGTCAAGCCCCTATACTTGCATTGCCGGATTTGAATCAAGTGCTTGAAGTTGAGTGTGATGCGAGTGGTGCTGGTATTGGAGCAGTCCTTACTCAATCAAAATGGCCTATTGCATACTTTTGTGAAAAGCTTAATGAGTCAACAAGGAAGTATAGTACTTGTGACAAGGAGTTTTATGCCATAGTGAGAGCCTTAGATCATTGGAGCCATTATCTACGACCAAGACAGTTTGTACTCCATTCTGATCATCAAGCATTGAAGTTTATCAATGCCAACATAAGCTCAATCCTAAACATGCCGAATGGGTCGAATTCCTCTAATCCTTCTCCTTTGTTTTGAACTGCAAGCAAGGAGTAAACAATGTGGTAGTCGATGCACTTTCAAGGAGGTATGCTTTGTTATCCTTACTTGATTCATGGGTACTTGGATTTAAATTAATGAGATTATGTTATGATGCTGATGACAAGATGAAAGTGTGTATGGTTGAATGTGGGAAATCTGGTTTTGAGGAGTATGTTATACATGATTGTTATTTGTTTAAGGGCAATACGTTGTATCTGTCGAAAGGGAGTTGATCATGAGGGAAACACATGGTGGCGGTTTGGCAGGACATTTTGGGGTTATTAAGACCCTAGAAATAATCAAGGAATACTTCTATTGGCCTAAGATGTTGAGTGACATTCAAGCCCTCATTAAATGATGTGGTTTGTGTCAAAGATCAAAAAGCCAATTCAAGGCCGGTCCATACATGCCCTTGCCTATAGTCGAACACCCTTGGGAAGATATTAGCATGGATTTTGTGGTTGCTTTGCCAAGAACACAATGAGGTAAAATTCCATTATGGTAGTGATTGATTGTTTTTCCAAAATGGCTCATTTCATACCATGCCATACCACACATGATGTAGCTCGTATTGTCGATTTGTTTTTAAAAGAGATTGTGAGACTACATGGTATTCCAAAATTAATTGTGTCAGATTGGGATACAAAGTTCCTAAGTCATTTTTAGAGGAGTTTATGGAGTAAGTTGGGAACTAAGTTGCCATTTAGTACATCCCCAAACCAACGGCCAAACTGAGGCAATCAACAAAGTGTTGGGCAACATCTTAGGGAGTTTGGCGAGTAAACATTTGAAGGATTGAGACTTGCAATGAGCACATGCCGAATTCACATACAATAAGAGTCCAAGTTCCACCACTGGTCACACACCATATGAGGTATTATACGGTGTAAACCCCTCACTCCACTTGATCTTACTTTATTGACTCTTGATTTCAAGCCAAGTGTAGATGCCAATGAGAAAGTAAAGCAAATGAAGAAACTCCAGGAAGTCGTGAGACTTTAGATTGTGAGAGCCAATGAGAAGATTAAAAGCAAGGCAAACAAGCACTAAAAGCCTAAACTCTTTCAGCAGGGTGACTTAGTGTGAATCCATTTGAGAAAGAAGAAGTTTCCAGGCAAAAGGAAGAGTAAGTTGGCTCCTCGGGCATATGGTCTGTTTGACAATGCTTATAAGGTAGAATTAACTAGTGAATATGGTGGAGTATTGGCAACCTTTAATGTGGGTGACCTTAGCCCATATTTGGAGGACAATCTGGATTTGAGGGAAAGTCCTCTTCAAGCCGGGGAGGAATGATCCAAAACCTCCATGAAAACTCAACAAACAACCAAGAACTTGCATGCATAGATTCGGCCAAACAAGACCCTTCACAACTTTCATGCACGATTTCACCAAACAAAGGGATTTCAACTCCAAACCATACAAATACACAACACAAGACACACCAACTAGATTTGGACAAGGCTAAAAACAAACACAAGGATTTCGGCCAAGGTAGAAAAGAAGACAAAACAACTTACTTGAATGGAAAGGATAGAGACAAGAAAGGCCTTCAAGCGTAAAAGATTTCTCCACCAACTTGAAGTTGAATCACCACCAAATCCCTTATCAAGACTTGGATAAAGATTTCAAAACAAAAGGAAAATAATTCCTCTCAAGTGTTTAATTTTCATTTCATTGCTCAACCTTACAAAATGCGAGAGAGTTTGTTTATATAGTGACATTACAAAGAAATTAACTAGGTTAAGTAAAGTAAACATGCTACATAGGATGATTAACTAAAGCATAACAAAGGTAAACATGCCACCTAGGATGACTAACTAAAACATAACAAAAGTAATTAAATCCTACTAATAAGAGTACATGAGTTTGGGCTTTGGAATTCATTGAAATGGGCCCAAAATGAAATAGCATGGGAATGCTCTTTGGGCTTGGATAATGGGCTGTTTTGGATTTCTTGAATACTTGGGCCTTTTCTTTGTTAGACTTGGACTTCACTTGATGAATTAGTGCTTGAATGGGCTTGGGCTGAGATGTCTCCTTTTCTTTGCATAAGTTGGGCTAATTCCTCTTCTTGAACTTGGTTCGGATCTGAATTGTCTTCTTGCACAACTTGGGCTGGTTCCTTTCTTTGGGCTTGGGCCAAGTTACCATCCTTAAAATTTACATGTCATGTACCAAGTGTTTTAGGACTTGGAATGACTTCTTTTGATTCAACTGAATTTACAAGTGTGATATGACTTGTAATTTCTTTTCCACTCAAGTTTACAAGTGTTTTAGGACTTGTAAACGAATTAGGGTCCCACCTGATAAATTGCGACTGACCAATTGCAACCACATCGGGGTTGTGAGAAGAGGCCTATTACGAACTGACCAATTGCGAGTTGCCACGTCGTGGTTGTAAGAGGAAGTTTATGAGAAGAGATTGTGGGTGTAGCATTTTCCATAAAAAAAATAGTGCCACATTAGTTTATATGTATACAAGAGTTTGTATAGATAGTCTATATAGGTAACACTACTTTATATTATTTTATTTTTATTGTGATGCTTTTTTGTATTGATAGGAAATACAATAATTATTTTTATTGTTATTTATTTCTCTGCATGCAACCAGGTTTTTGTTCTAAACCATTCAAAAATTGTGGCTTAGATGAATTGAATTGGAAAAGATTATGTATATGAGGTCTTGGTTATGAAAACTCAATGGCCTCGTTTGGATTGAGGGATTTTAATAGCCATGGATTTTGTACAATCCATGGATTTTGATAAATTCCATTGTTTGGTTTAAATATAAAATCCATGAATTGTTGATTCATATTTCCATGCAGTCATGTTTGATTAGATGAATACAATCTATAGATTTGATAAATAATATCCAACTTTATCCTCAATATCCAAAACCAACAAAAATTCAACTATCATCTAATTAAATACAAGTTAAATTATATTTGATAGAGAAGTCATTATAATAATGATTTTTTGGTGGTTTGGTAACAAAAACAAAAAGAATTCCAATTGAAAATAGACAAAATTGTAAGATAGAACTAGAGTTGGTCTCCAATCTATATATTGTCGGACCCATTGCTTTGCAAAAGGACCTATATATCTGACAAGCTTGAGGGCTATTTGTGATGACGTTGTTGATTTAATATTTCATAAAAAACAAAAAGCTACCACCAAAAAGTTCTTAACCAGATAACAAAAAGAATCACTATGAGAAATTGAAATAATAAAAAAGCTTTTCACAAATAAGAATTTAAAAATAATTAATTAAAGGAAAGGAAACTCACATGTAGATTATTTCTCTAGTATGCTCGGAAGATGTTGATGATGTAAAGGTAAAGAGCTCAAAACGAGAGAACGACAAATATATTTCTTTTAATTAGGGTAAATGGTAATTACAAAGATATTAAATTATTAATAAGGATAGTATTGAAAAATTAAAATATTAACAAAATCTTTCATTTTATTAAAACTGATGGATTTGACAAAATCCCACCTACTAGGTGGAATTTTAAAACCCTCAAAAAATGAAGGATTCTAGAGGGTGGTGGATTTTCCAAAATCCATGGATTTCAATTTTTTTTTTAAAAATCAAAACGAAGGATTTTACCAAATCTATAGATTTAATAAAATCATTCATTTAGAATTCCTCAATCCAAACGAGGCCAATTTGATTTCTATAAATTCAACTTTATGGGCTCTCTTCTTCTTTTCCTCTTTCTAAGTCAAACATGAATTCCTTTATAAAGAGAGGGATTTTGATGTGTTGACATGCAAATATGGAATGTTGATATTATATGGAATGTTGATATTCTATGTCCTTACTTAGAAAGTTTACAAACATTTTCGTGAGATTATTTTTCCTTACATAGTCACTACACATTTGTATAAATAGGTGGTATGACTACATGTAAAACACAATTCAATACAGTTCAATACAATTCTTTCTTCTCAACTCTTGGGCATACTTCAGCTCTCTTCAATTGCCTCTTTTGCTCTCTCAATTCTTGCAAATACTTCGGTTCTCTTCAATTGCCTCTCTTGCTATCTCAATTCTTGGACATACTCTGACTCGCTTCAATTACCTCTCTTGCCTTTTCAATTCTGACATAGTATCAGAGCTCTTTTTGTAATCAAGCTACCATTGATCAACCCACTCTAGCCTTAAGTTTTACTTCAGCTTGCAAGACACAAAGGGTTTCGGGTTAGATAACCAAATAAGGTCAAACAAAATTGCAAAATCCTTTCTCTCTCTCTCTCTCTCCGCCTTAGCATCATCTTGTAAGGATTCGTTGAATCAAGCAGCGGAAAAAACAAAAAAATTTCGATGAAAACCTTAAACTCAAAATCATGGATTGATACATATGTTTAAATTATAATGAAAATTAAAGGATTAAATTTATACCTGTGTTTGATGGCTCCTTCAATTGACTCTGAATTGATTTCGCAATTCGATTCAAGCATAGAATCGCACACATGATACAAAAGGCTAGAACACAATCATAAATAATCTAATTTACTAGAATCAATTATTTGCTTCAAGGAATAAAATTGGGGCTGAAATTTTTTAGAGAATTTTTAGTTCTCTTTTCAAGAAATCGCTAGGTTATATTAATCTATTTAACCCTCATTTTAATTATGTTTTTATAGCATAATTAAAACCCTAATCCACCCTATAATAAGAATAACCCTATTCTGAGGTAGAATAGAAAAATATTTCAATTTTATTATTATAATTAATATTAATATCAATATCAATTCCAATAAATAAAATTATAATTTTGCTAAATTAATTCCAATACCAAAATTGGACATAGGCTACAACCTCAGCAAATTTAATTGTTCAGCAAAATTACAAAAATACCCATCCATCTAAAAGACGAAAATGCCCCCAAAATATTATTTACCTTAAATTGCATTTTTAGCGTGTGACCTGTAGGCTCCCTATCATGTTGGCAGTGAATGTAATTGTAATTAAGCATCAAATAATTAGCTCTCCATACACAAACCAAGTTGGCCTCTAGCAAGGCATCATGGTTACCCAACAGATAGAGATTCAGTGAAATAGCTACATGTCAATGATATGTTTACCGTGCAATCTAATCCCTTCACCATCTGTTATCTCATCAAGGTTGAAGTACATAAATAGTGTCAACTTCAAACATTTTCCTTGACACGTTGGCATTCGGTTATTAGACCAACGACTGAACACAAATTGCATTTGAGCAACAACTCAATTCCACTATGGCCACAAATTTATGGTCGTTGCAATTTACAAAATAGCTCAGTGAGATAACTACTTTTGTACCTAGGAGTGATGAATCCTTTGTTAGTCCACCATAGATATAGTGTACTTCTCAATGTGGCCAACCACCACCTTATTGATAATCCTGGAAAGGACTGTGTTAGGCTAGCGTCAGAATAAACCAATATTTACATAAGACGCTTTAGTGACCTCAAGTCTATGGATTACATGCACCACCATCCGTTAGAGGATATGTTCCATAGACATTGGGGTTACCATCCATATGGAATTCTCTGGAGGGTCAGTCTAGTGAACTTGCATACAACAAGCACCCGCGAGGCACCAAGTTTTCACCAAACAACTTTGACATATGAGATCTGTCACTACCTTTTGGTAGGGTCTTTCAACGCTATGATAGTCTTATTGTATTATTTGTGCCCTTGGTTAGAATAATATCGAGGCTACAAACATTTCTAGAATGACCACCACATGTGATCATAGTGTCCTCACAATTAAGTATTGAAACACTTGATTCCCTCATCACGGTTCTACCATTCTAACGACATATATCAATACATAAAATAATAGGAATAACATGATATAGTAATATGTGCCTTTATTGATAATTAACATGATATTACAAAGAGTCAAATATACAAATAGGATTGGCTATAGGACACCTACACTAACACAACCTCCCTTCCAATTGCACAACCTGTACTCAAGCTGCAGTTTGCTAGCAAAATCCCGCACGCTGTCATGGCTCGAGACCTGTCATCACGTGCATCTCATTGTGAAGCCTACCGCTGCTTGCGTCTTCATCTGTTGTTGCTTCCAGCTACGCTGATTTGGTCTAGTGCACAATCTACGTGCCCAGTTGCAATGCGATTTCACTAGCAATGCGTTTTTTTAGTATAAACTATAAATTATTGCTTAATCTGCATGAGATCTACACTAGAGTGCAATTACACCAGTGTGCGACCTGCGCGTCCAACTGCTACTCTTCGCTAGCTAAAGCTCACTACTGTCTATTCAAGCTAGCAATCGAAAATCAAGAAAAAATTGTCCATGAAATTTTACCCAAGTATAAGTGACAAAGAGTTTCTGTTGTTTGGGATTTTCCTCCAAGTTGTGGATGGTTTGTCTTGCAAACACCCAATAAAGATACTATTGTTGGAGTTGTGAAGAAAGAAATGTCCTTGGAAAGCGGTGTGAATGCATTGTTGCCACGTGACCAACAAATTTTTGTTCCAGGTATCACCTAGGAGAAGAGTTTCAGTGATTAGAGACTTTCCTCCATTTTGTGGGCCAAATGCTCCATGTCTTAGTATGGAAGAGTTCAGTGAAATGATTGCTTCTTTGAAGAGATTTGATGAAGAGAATTTTGTTATCGAAGAAAGCTCTTTGAGAGAGATTGTGGAGACTGATGTGAAACAAATGGAGCATGGTTATCATAGGTATGCATACAAGAGTAAGTTGAATGGTGATGTTTCTATGATCAATTGTGATCAAAGATCGAAAGAGCTATGGTGCTAGATAACAAAGCCTAGCCACCAATTTGCTCTGAATTAACTCGCAACGAGAATTTTCTTGTTAACTCTTCTAGCAGATAACATTCGTATCTACTATGCAAGTTTGAAGTTTATGACATATACAATCCACAAGCTTGAGGGGGAGTGTTGACATGCAAATATGAAATGTTGATCTTATATTACCTTACTTAGAGAGATGACAAACATTATTGTGAGATTATTTTTCCTTACATAGTCACTACACATTTGTATAAATGGGTGGTATGAATACATTTAAAACATAATTCCATACAATTCAATAGAATACAATTCTTTCTTCTCAACTTTTGGGCATACTTCGGCTCTCTTCAATTGCCTCTCTTGCTCTCTCAATTCTTGGGCATACTCTAGCTCCCTTCAATTGCCTCTCTTGCCTTCTCAATTTTGACACGATGTTTAAGTTAGTAAAAATTGAAAAATCCCTTAAGCTTTTAATTGATGAGCTTAGGGAATGTTTGATAATTGATATTTTATCAATAAAACTTGATAATATCACCCTTTTTGATAAAACAAGAGATAAAATAAACAATAATAACTAGATATTATGAATTTTGACTTGCCATAAGAACTATACGACGTGTAGTGCCCGCATTACTCAAAGGGCAAAAATGTGAATATCTTTCATGAATATAATTGCACCCTAAGTAAACAATTCAAGAGATATTCACCCAAATAGGAAGTAGAATCAATATAAAAGAATGAATCTAGGGAATTGAAGAAGTTAAATTAGAAAGTAAATATTACACGGATACAATTAGACCTAGCAAAACGGATACTGTATCCGTGTATTTTAAGCAGGTACGAGTTAATATATATATATATGTTGCTCGTAGATTCGGTATACCCGCAAGTACCCACAAAAAAAATTAAAAAATTAAGTAATTAGAAAAAAAATTAAAAATTAAGTAATTATGGTTTCTAATTGATTGATTCTACTAAAATAAGTTTCTCATCTCAAGTGACTAATTCTATTAAAAAAAATTAAGGAATCAGGGTTTATTTTTCTGTGAGTTTCAATTGCGGTAGCCACTATTAAATTGCAATTTCAGTTTTTTCTCAGCTCTTAGATCTGCCTATTAAAATATTGAGGAGGAATGAATTGAAAAGATTTTGTAGGCATCAATTTGATGAAATATTTGGGTTGTAAAATGTAGCACAACAAATGAAGAGAAAATGGTGTGGTCTTGAGTGACGGATGATCTGGGCATGGATTTGAAGAAATGGGTCTTTTGGTATACAAATTAGAGGAAATAGATTCTGGCCATGTGTGGGTTTAATTTATTTAGTTGGTGATATTGGGTTTAGTTTGTTTGGATGGTGATATTGTATTTTGAATTGTATAGTGAAATAATTTTGATTTGTGGTATCTATCACTCTATATTTGTGTGATCATTTAGTAATAAAATATAATGTATATTTGTTTTAACAATTTCCATTTGGTTTTTTATTTAACTTTGATTTTTTTAATGGTTTTTTAAGTTGATTTGGCATATATATTATATGGCTTTGATTTGAGTTTTACTTGATTTTGTATTGAAGAATATATTACAAAATAGGTGACCTGTGGGTCCACCCGCACCCACAAGGGCTAGATATAGGTTTTATATTAATTACCCATTTAGAACCTCGACCCGTTTTACCTGTACCCACCCGGCCCACTCGTTTTCCAGGTCTAGATCCAATCCCAAAGAGAAATAAGATCCCATATTCTGGTAAAACCCTCACATTCCTTCTTCTACCCGATCTCCTATTTCATTAAGGGTCTGCTTTGGAGTTTCAGGGTAGCGGTTATGAGAGTAAACCATCGTAGCGGTTTTGAGGGTAAATCACCGTAGCGGTTTTGAGGGGTTTTTAGTAGCGGTTTTTAAAACACCCAACCTGTGCTTGGGAGTTTATTTTCCAACGGTTCTGACAGTTTTTTAAAATGATAAATTTACATATATGCCCATAAAGTTAAAACACTCTCTTTTGCTAAATTAACTTTGATAAATACAAATAATGCCTACATTTTGGCTCAACTTTAAAACATTTGCTTAATTCAATTTTCACACAACAGCTTTTATTAACTTTATAATTAATTCAATTCCTACATCAAAAGTAAAACATGTGAGCCATAAGTAATATATTTAGCTATGATATAATTTTCGAAAGAATTATAAATTCATTCTTTTGTGAAGAAGTTCCATGGCAGGCCCCGGTATCGAATTTCAATCAAGCTTGATGGCCAGGAACCGAAAATGTGTTCAAGCAATCAACAAAAAGTCCAAAGCCCACCCAAACCTGGACGCCCTTGCGCTGTACTCATATTGCATGAAAAGCTACAATGACAAAGCCAAATTCACCATCCAAAACTGTCAATCAAAACAAATATTCCCTAAACCTAACTTGAATAAAAGTCTGAACACTACTGGGTACCATACCTAACCAAAGTATGGGCACAAGTGGAAATGAGAATTGCATTGAATTGTTCAATTGATCAATTAAGAAGATGGATGAATGAAATAAGGCAGACACGAAGGGGACCCCAAATCTGAACCTAAAATTAGTATGGGCAGAGGCAGAGGCAGCTGGTCACTCACACAGTTTTTTTTTTTTTTTTAAACTTGGTTTAGTAGTGTTGATTAATTAATTAATCTACTAAATAATAATTGTTCCCACCAAGAAAAACAAATTTGGTGAATTAACTAACCTTGGCAGCACTGTGATCCATCTACACTATAAAATTAATCATATGACTTCTTTTGCTTAATATCTGCATTAAGATTCAACTACATTTGGCCACTATTTACTCTGTAATTGAAATAAACAAGTCTGTTTTCTTTTCGATGTACAGTGTACAATAATTAATCTTTCTGTTGAAATACATGGCCATGTCAATTTAAATGGTAAATTAATAACGCCTATATTCAGATCCCAGGTACTGATATATTGCCAATGTGTTGCAATCCTTTTATTTGTACAGCAAAGTGCAAACTATAAGATACTACATAATCACTGCAGAAACAATAATTGATATCTCCACAAATGTCTTAGTCTTGGTTAAACTCAATTGATAGCTCCACAAATGTCCAGTCTTGGTTAAACTCTACCCCACATAGCCCTTTTTGATCCAACACCTGTCTCTCTTCCATTGACTATTTCCATACATCTTCCATTGAAGCCATCTCATGTCACCCACCTACTCTGCTAACCCCTCATCAAATTATCATCTCACAAACGTTAATCAAAACTGCACTGCCTAGAAAGTATATGAAGTAATATCAAGCTCATAATCTTAATCAATGTGGGTCAGGACACAGCCCTTCATACATGTAAGACTAACAACAGTATAGGCCTAACATCTGAGTCTGAGAATATCTATTACACGCTTTTGGGTTGTTTGATTTAAGAATGACAGATCAACAGGTTTTGGGATTTCTTCCTACCAAGCAGTAATTCATACAAGAAAATACCAAACGTCCACCAATCAACATCACTACCCATGACCATCTCCTCTTATTATCAAAGAAAAGCTAGTGAAATAATGAATCAACTCATAAACAGGCATCAAAATCCAATCATGACAATCACATTCAACAAAAGCAAAAGTAACGATTGATCAATCATGCAAATACATTGACAAATCCATAAAAGAAGCAAGAACCCAGATGGGAAATCACCTTATCTCGTGTAATTATTCTCTTGGTTGACGCCTAATTTGCTGAAAGTGAGGAGAATCTAATACAAACCCAAATGAGTTGTGTGTGGCAAAGGGCTTTGTGTGCAGCAAATTAAAACCATTCGTGTGCAGCAATGACAGATTTGAGAGATTTGTGTGCTAGAGAGAATCTACAGCAGCGACAGATTTGTAAAAGGGAGTGGAAAGGGGTTTTTTTGGGGATAAAAGTTTTAAACCAGTGAAAACACCCCGATTTGGGGTGTTTTATAAACCCCTCAAAAATACACTACACTGGTTTTGGGGGGTGCCTATTAAAAATCTGGCAAGTGGAGGTTTTTAAACACCTCAAAACCAGTCTAATTAAAAACCCCCCAAAACCAGTGAAAAAAAAACTCCCAAGCAGACCCTAAGGGAAGTATTCTCCTAAAACTCTCTCAACTTCTCTATATAAAGGAGGCTAATGGCATAGAATGATATATAATAATTCATATGGAAAACCCTCTTATTGAGCATTCCAAGTGAAACATGACCGCAACCTAAATTAGCCTCTGATTTTTGTTCTAACCCTACAATCTTGCAGGAACTTTGCTAATCTTTGTAGGGGTAACATTGTAGTTGACGATGACCTCAGAGACATCCATCCAAGGGCAGAACGAGAAGATTATCGTAGACCAAAGGGCAAGATTGTAATCTCATGTTTGGTGTGGATTTTGGCATCAACAGGACATTTCCTATACTACAATAAATTATGAAGCATATAGGTCTTGCTTTATGGAAGCTGAATTTTCAAAAAATAGATGAAGAAGAAAGTGATATCCTACCAATTCTTAAATTGAGTTATGACCATTTCCCCTCACACTTGAAACAATGTTTCGCTTATTGTGCATTGTTTCCCAAAGATTATGAGATTGACAAAGATTCATTGATTAAACTTTGGATGGTGCAAGGAATTCTTCAGTCATCAAACACAAATCTATGTTTACAAGATGTTGGTAATGAGCATTTTAGTTACAGAAATTGGAGTACAAAATAGAAAAAGAAAGTCACAATTCTTCTTAACAATTTCACGCTGTTCTTTCCACCTCTTAATGAATATCTCCCTAACCAAGTGGTCCTGATATTAATTTGTCAAGTCTATACGTATATACTATGAGAGAATCACTTTGTCCCCCTATAGTTTCGTTAAATCTGATTGCAAGAAACGAAGCAGATTTTCATCAAAGTGCCCCCATAGTTTCATGAAATGCATCAAAAAATTAGTGTCTACCACGTGTCACGCCTCGATATCTATTTCTTCATATTTGTCGGTTTTGAGAATCACTTTGCCAAAAGCGAATACAATCCAAGTTGATTTTAATAATCCAATGTGTAAGCAAATGACCAAAATAGAGACTACCATCAAAGAGGCAAGCTTTCGGTGCCAATTAATAAAGCAAGAGACACCATGCTTTCTTTTTAATCAAAAGTCAAAAAGTTTAAGTGCCATTCAGCTATTTAATCATCTTCGGATTACTTTTATGTTTTATTTTGGTTATATTTTTATTTTTAATCTAGCATTCAACACTCCATTATTTAAGAAAAAAGAAAAAAAGTTTCATAAAATATAACTTTTTCATATCAATACTATTAACTAAAATTTATAGTTTTACATTTATAACAGTAAAAACTCAGTTATAATATATTTTAAAGTTTCATTGAATTATTAAATCCCTTTTGATACACAAAGAACCTTTATAATAGAAATCGGGGGACAAAAATAGAGAAATAACTCAAAATTTGCATAAAACTTCTTATGCGAATTTGGAATTTTGAGTTGGGTTCTTGATATCTTTTGCATTATTTACATTTCAAGAGTTTGAGGAGTCTTTCATCAAGTGTTAAGTTTATTAATGGCTTTATCTTCTTCTTCTTCAAGAGTTTATGAAAATATCATGTTTTTCTTAGTTTTAGAGGTGAGGATACACGAGAAAACTTTACAAACAATCTCTATGCCACTCTGTGTTTAAAGAAAATTAACACGTTTATCGATAGTTATGATCTCCAAAAAGGAGATGAAATTTCACAAACACTTTTGAATGCAATTGAAGAATCAAAGATTGTGGTTATTATATTCTCCAAAAGGTATGCCACATCCAGATGGTGCCTTAAAGAACTTGCAAAAATCATTCAAGGCAAGAAAGCGAAATATTTGATCATAGTACCAGTTTTCTATCATGTGGATCCGTCTGATGTAAGAAACCAAAAAGGGATATTTGGAGAAGCATTTGTGAGGCATGAAGAAAAGTAAAGCTCAGATGAGGTGATGAGATGGAGGAATGCTTTGACAGAAACAGCTAATCTATTCGGATTTTATTCAAATAACATTAGGTAATTGTTTTGTTGTTGCACATATTATTTTACCTGTTTATTTATTTATAGTTGTCAAACTGAAACTAACATAAGTTTGGTTCAATAGATAAATTTATCTATTATATATTGAATTGACAAAAATTTCCATAGATTTTAGATATTTGATATGTATAATTAATCAAATAAATCTAGTAATATATTTGAATGTGAAATAAAAAATTATTAAAATATAATATTTTACAAATTCCTAAGGAACAAAAAATTTAAGATATTATAGATTATTTATATATATCTGGGAATGAGACAATGAAGAGGGGGCTGAAAATGTTTTTTTTTTTTTTTTTTTCCTAAAAAGGTATTGCACCGTACGAAACCCATCCGTTTATATTTATGTAAATAAGATAATATAACTCATTTTAATTTTAATAAATTTAATTAATTTAAATGTGGGGTTAAACTAGGACAGAGTGAGTGGTCATTGAATTGAACTTAAAATAAAAAAATTACAAAACTAATAATTTATTTATTTATTTTTACAAGGCTTACCGAAGATTAATTAATTATTTTGCAAAGTTTCCAGAATTATTTTCTTTGATCAATCTTTTAATTAGCAAGGTTTCCTTGGAGTAAGATATTGTAATTAACAAAAAAAATAGTAGAAATTAATATAGAAATTAAACAATAATATTAGTCCATAAACCAAACTGGGAACTTGGAGAATTTTGTCAGAAAGGAGTAAAAGCATATTAAATAATCAATTGTCAAGCACTTGCAAATTTTAATTAATAGTTATAGATTATTTATATTTTATTAGCAAATAAAAATAATTTAACTCATTTTTATTTCATTAATTTTACTTAAAAACATATAAATTTAGATTTGAATTTGCACCGAGCAAGGTAATTGAAATTAACCAAAGATTCTAACATTAGGCAACTGTTATATATTTTAATAATTACTTAAATAAAAAAAAAAAAAAAAAAAAAAACTTCGTTAACATATATATTGTAATTAAAAAGCATCATTGTTTCTCTTTTGATTTAATTAAACTTATTAATAAACTGTTTTATATTTTGCCAGGCCTGAATCTGCATTAATAGAGGAAATTGTCAAAAATATTTTGAAAAAACTGAATCAAATGTCCCCTAGTGACAACAAGGACGTCGTTGAAGTAGAATCACAAATAGAGAAAATTGAATCACTATTACGTCTTGGGTTAAAAGATGTTTCAAGTAGTGTTAGGATTTGGGGAATGAGTGGTATAAGCAAAACAATTGCTCATGAAATATTTGACAAAATCTCAAGTCAATTTGAAAGTGCCAACTTCCAAAATAACGCCAGAGAAGAATATGAAAAATTGGGATTAATTGGTTTGAATCAACAAGTTTTTTTTCGCAATATTAGATGATGAACATGGCATTTTAGAGTCCACCATCACAAAAAGTAGGCTTCGTATTAAGAAGATTCTCATTGTTTTTGATGATGTGACATGTTTAGAGTAAATAAAAAAGTTTACTAAAGATCTTGAATGTTTTGGTTTTGAAAGTTGTATCGTTATAACAATAAGAGAGAAACAAGTGCTTAAAAATTGTGGAGTGAATCAGAATAACATATTTGAGGTTAAGAAATTATCAAATAATAAGGCCCTTGAACTTTTTAGTTGATATGCCTTTAGACGAAATCAACCCACTGCAAGTTACATGGAGCTATCTAAATGGGCATTAACTTTTGCTAAAGGCATTCCGTTAGCTCTTAAAACTTTGGGTGGTTTGCTATTTGGCAAGGCAAATTCAGAATGGAAAAGTGCATTGAATAAATTTGAAAGAGATCCAAATTTGAAGATCCAAGATGTGCTGAAAATAAGTTACATGGACTAGATAATGAAGAACAAAAAATATTTCTAAATATTACATGTTTCTTTAATGGGGATGATAAGAATGTTGTGATGAAAATCCTAGATGATAATGGGTTTGTTGCAGACATAGGAGTAAGTGTTCTCATTGATAAAAAGTGACAAGATAATAATGCATATTTGGGTTTTGTAGAGTATTCAATAGGCTCCGTATATTAGATGTATGCTGGGAGTTGTTGTGAATGAGGCACCTGTTGGGTGGAAAGAAGGGTATTAGCATCATTTAATACTATTATGTTAAAACCAATAAAAATTAGTGTCTGCCACATGTCATTACCTCACGCCTTCATATCTATTTCTTCATATTACATTAAAGGTTTAAGATGAAATAAAATATTTATCTGAAGTTGTTTGGGATAATCATTTATACTTTAAAGTTGTTATTACATCTTTTAACTTGCAGGTACATTACTTTCTAGCGTGGATATTCTCTTGTTAAAACCTAAACATTTCTAACTTCTCAACATGTTTAAAGCTTCTTGACATGAAACTTTTTATATTTATGTACTATCATCTTCATAATTATTTTCTTAGTTTTAGGGGTGAGGATACACGTGAAAACTTTACAAGCCATCTCTATGCAACTTTGTGTTCAAAGAAAATCAAGACGTTTATTGATAGTTATGATCTTGAAAGAGGAGATGAAATTTCACAAGCACTTTTGAATGCAATTGAAGAATCAAAGATTGCGGTTATTATATTCTCGAAAGGGTATGCCACATCTAGATGGTGCCTTGAAGAACTTGCAAAAATCATTGAAGGCAAGAAAGCAGGAGATTTGATCGTGCCAATTTTCTATCATGTGGATCCGTCTAACGTAAGAAACCAAAAACGCACATATGAAGAAGCATTTGTGAGGCATGAAAAAATACAGAGCTTAGAGAAGGTGATGAGATGGAGGAACGCTTTGAGAGAAGCAGCTAATTTGTCTGGATTTGATTCAAGTAACAGTAGGTAATTGTTGATTGAAATTAATTGTTGTTGCACTTATTAATTTACTTGTTTATTTATTTATAGTTGTCAAACTAAAAGGGACGTAAGTTTGGTTCAATAGATGAAGAGACTTATCTTCTTAATTTGGAGAAAATAAATTTATCTATTAGATACTGAACTAACAAAGATATCCATAAATTTTAGATATTTGATATGTATAATTAATCAAATGAACCTGGTAATATATATATATCTTTTAATTAGCAAGGTTTCCTTGGAGTAAGATATTGTAATTTTAATTAAAAAAATATTAGTAGAATATAATACAGCGCGTGACGAAAAAAAAAAAAAAATCAGGTAACAATTAGTTAGAAATTAATATAGGAATTAAACAATAATATTAGTCCATCAGATACAAGGAAGCAAACTGAGATGCTTGGAGTAGAAATGTAGAATTTGTGAAGCATGAAGAACGGTTTGAGCACAACTTAGAGAATTTGCTCAGATGTAAAGCATTTGCACATTTTGCTTAATAGTTATTATTGATTTTTATTAGCAACTATGGGTTTTACTCTTCTTTGTTGTTTCACAAGGCGCCCTCGAAGATTAAGTACATTAGGCAACTGTTATATATTTTAATAATCACTTAATTACAAAAACTTTTTTAGCATAGATATTGTAATTAAAGTGCATTATTGTTTCTCCTTTGATTTAATTAAACTTATGAATAAACTGTTTTATATTTTGCTAGGCCTGAATCTACATTAGTAGAGGAAATTGTCAACTATATTTCGAAAAAACTGAATCAAATGTCCCCAAGTGACAACAAGAACCTCATTGGAGTAAAATCAAAAATAGAGAAAGTTGAATCACTATTACGTCTTGGGTTAAAAGATGTTTCAAGCAGTGTTGGGATTTGGGGAATGGGTGGAATAGGCAAGACAACTCTTGCTCATGCAATATTCAACCGAATCTCAAGTCAATTTAAAAAAGCCCACTTTCAAGATAATGTCAGGGAAGAATGTAAAAAGAATAATGGATTAACTCGTTTGAGTCAACAAGTTCTTTTTGCAATATTAGATGATAAACATGCCAGTTTAGATTCTATCTTCACGAAAAAGAGGCTTTGCAGTATGAAGATTCTTATTGTTTTTGACGATGTAACATGTTTTGAGCAAATAGAAAAGTTTACTGGTGATTGTTTTGGTTCTGGAAGTTGTGTCATCATAACATCAAGAGATAAACAAGTGCTTAAAACTTGTGGAGTGAATCATGATAACATATACAAGGTTAAGGAGTTATCAACTGATGAGGCTGTTGAACTTTTCTGTCGACATGCCTTCAAACAAAATCAACCCACTGCAGGTTACAAGGAGCTATCTCAATGGGCACTAACATTTGCTAAAGGCATTCCATTAGCTCTTAAAATTTTTGGTGACATGCTATTTGGCAAGACAGATTCAGAATGGAAAAGTGCATTGAAAAAGCTTGAAAGAATTCCGAATCCGAAGATCCTAGATGTGCTGAAAATAAGTTACGATGGACTAGAAAATGAAGAACAAAAAATATTTCTAGATATTGCATGTTTCTTTAATAGGGATGATAAGAATTTTGTGAAGAAAATCCTAGATGATATTGGGTTTGCTGCAGACATAGGAGTAAGTGTTCTCATTGATAAATCTCTCATAACTCTATCTGGTTGCAAGATAATAATGCATGATTTATTGCAAGAAATTGGGAGGAAAATTGTCTCTGAAGAATCAAAAGATCTTGGCAAACGCAGTAGGTTATGGCATCATGAAGATATCAATCGTGTATTGAAGACAGACATGGTGAGAGATCACCTCATTAACTTTTCATACACATATTTGTTCACTTTTTTTTTTTTTTTTTTTTTACTTTCTTTTTTTTAAAAAAAAAAATTTTAATGTGCATTTTGTGTTGTTCTTGCATGTATATACCCTTTTATCCAATTCCTCACTGGGAAAGGGATAAGATTTGATTGATGTTGTCTATATTTAAATATTAGCATAAGAAAGTTGAGAAAAGAAAAGTAATTGAGACTTATTACACATGGGATGCTAACTTACTGTCACTTCTTGATCACTAGGGGACTGGAGCAATTGAATGCATTCGTTTGGAAATGTCAAAAGCAAAACCTTTCAAGTTACATCCCCACGCTTTCTCAAACATGCATAACCTCAGATTCTTGGATTTTTATTGCGATATTGGTTGCTCATGCAACTTTTACAACTCACACTGTAAAGGTGGCTACATATGCAAAGAAGGGCAGATTGATAATAAGGTGCATCCTTCTGAAGATCTTGAATTTGTTCTTTCTGAACTAAGGTACTTCTGTTGGTATGGATATCCGTTGCCATCATTGCCATCAACTTTTGATGTAGAGAATCTTGTTTCACTTGTCATGCCATGTAGCAAGATTAAAATTTTGAATTTTGTCCAGGTACATATATACCTTGAATATTCTTTTTTTTTGAAAATTATAATACATGATTAATTTATTTTTATTTTTTCTTGTAGCAATGTGATAAATTGAAGCACATTAATCTCAGCAACTCAAAGCTCCTAACCAGAATCCCAGACCTCTCAATGATCCCAAATGTTGAGAGTTTGATTCTAGAAGGTTGTACAAGTTTGATTAAGGTTTTCTCATCTAAAAAGTATCTCAAGAAGCTTGCTATAATCAATCTTCGAGGTTGCAAAAGCCTTGAAAGTCTTCCTAGCACCAGTTGTAAGTTGACCATACTCAAATCTAATGATACTACCATTGTCTTGAATACATTTGAATAGACCTTTCTAATTTGTATTGTTTTTTTATCAGGTTTGAACTCTCTTGAGTCTCTAGATCTATCTGGTTGTCAAATGACTAAGTCATTGGACAATCGCACCCCATTATCCGTTCTAAGAGAACTATATCTTGCCGGAAAAAATTTTGAGTTAATACCAGGCATCAAAGAGCTTTCTAATTTGGTTGTTTTGGACGTAAGGAATTGCCAGAGGCTTCGATCCTAATTGCCAGAGCTTCCAGGTCTTTATGAGTTGCATGCAGAGAATTGCACATCATTAGAGGCATTACTTGTTCCTTTGTTAAGGACAGAAATTATCAACCTTACCAATTGTCACAAACTGGATAGGAATGTGCTCAAAGCCAATGTGGAAAATGCTCTGGAATTATATGCTGAGGTCTATAGATCTTTTTCTCTCCTTTACATAATATATATTTTAAAATTTTTTAAAGTTATTCTAATTTGATATTTTATTATTTTTGGATTAGAAACAAAATCTAAAGTGAAAAATACAATAATACTACTAAAATATTCATATCCCAAGTGATGTGTCAATATATATGGCATTGACACGTACACACAAAAAAAAAAAAAATGATGTATTGAATGATTTGGCAATACCCATATAATGACACATCATTTGGAATATGAAATTTGAGGATGAATAAAATTACTGAAAAAAACTCCTTAAAGGAGACAGTGCTTTTCACCGTCTATGTTCCATGTTAAAAAGGCTATTTAAAAATTAACTTTATTTTTAAGGTAGTTTTAGGTTGAGGAATAATTTTCTTTCTTATTTTGAGTGTTATTTTGGGTATTATATAATTTAATTGTGGCCCTACTTCTCTTTTAAAGTAGTGACTTTCTTGGTGCAGAGGCGGAAGCATTCAGTACCACTCTGGACTGTCTGTTTCCCTGGAAATGAAATTCCAAATTGGTATAGCTTTCAAAATATGGGATCTTCTATAACACTCAAGCTACTACCAGATCTTATGAACTATGAATACTTAGTCATTGATCTGTGCACTGTTGTAACATCTGGACAACATCATGTTGATAACAGAGTATTTCCCTTTGTTTTACGGTTCACGATCAAAGACGAGCATGGTAAGATGAGGCATGAGTCGGGTCGGTGTTTCTACTTTTTCAGTCCAAACCCTGTAATTGGACGTCGCTACAGATCACTAGATCATGTATACATGATGAGTGTGTTCTTCGACAAAAAAGAAGATGAACATAAGTGGAATGAACCAGGGAATGGCTCTGTTGTTTTGAATTTTAATTGTGATTATAAATGTGAAGGTAAAAAACGCTGCGAGGTGAAAAAGTGCGGGGTTAATTTATTCCATGCAAAAGCTTAGAAGGAAGAATCCACATACATTTTCAGCACCAAAGAAAAGGAGGAAGGGAAAGAGGAACAGCATCTCTAAGAAATTGAAAATTTAACAATAATCTTTTATGTAATTAATTTATAGAGTACGTAGAGTAGGATTCCAAGTTTGAATCCTAATTATTTTGTGATAAAATATCATGCTTTTGTTTTGTTCTTTGTTTATTATATGCTATTCTTTTTTTATCAATTTTGTTTTAACACTTATTTTGTCTATGTTAGATGCATTTACATTTTAAATTGAGCAATGGAAATGCTTGATTTCAATAGGTTTGAACTTTGAACACGGATAAAATATCGGAGCTGCAGTCCTATGTGAGATCATGTAATCATGTTCAATGTTAAATTTTTTTATCTCAGATGAGAAATTTGGAATTTGAATGAAGTTTGGGTTTAAGTTATATTTCTAGGAACATGGAGGGCATTTCAGGCCAAAACACTCAATACAGAAAATACTTATATAAATACTCAATATATTAATTATAAAATGCAATCTTAATTCCTTCCTCTATCAATACAATTAATTTAAATACAATTATCTAATTATATAGATTACATAATCTTCTATATTTTAAGCTGTAAAGATAGTGGCTCATAAATGCCATGTCCTTTTTCACCAAGTTTTCACGTCTTTTTTCTTGGTAAAATTTGGACTCTTTGAAGCAAAATTCTCAAGTTTTGTTAGTCAAGTTCACTTAGCTAGTGTCAAGATATTTAAACTGCCGGAGGTATGTCCTTGCTCTAATAACTCTTAACACTATAAATAAATCTTAGAAATATTTCTATATAAAGCCATGCGGTAAAAGATCAATAAAATGAATGGAGATGTCACATCATTTTATATAGAAATATTTGTAGCTTTATATGTACGTTTAACATTATTATTCCCAATCAACCATCTTCTATATATATATATATATATATATATATATATATATATATATATATATATATATTCCCAAGAGAAATTTACTTTAAACCCGCTGAGGTATGCCCTAACTCTAATAAACCGTGGTGTTGGAAATAGCCCTGACCGCCTATCATTTCTCAGAGTTGATGAAATCTGTCATCTGACACACTTAATAGTGAAATTCCTTATTTACCCCTAGTTCTAAAATAAAACCATAAAAAAAGAAAGTCACTAATCCTCACTTTAAACCTAAAATCAAAATAAAATTAAATAATTCCACTCTGAAATTTCCACACCCTCAATGTAATCCAAATCCCTGGCCCTAAAAACTCCAATCAAGTCAAAAATACTTAAAACACCTAAAATCTATTAACATCTACAAACCCGACTTAAAAACTCGTATCCTTACATTCAAGTTAATTCCAATGACAGCCTCCAAGCGGCCATGGATGCTACTATCCAAGGCCGCAAAGCCACGGCTTGGCATCGCGGGCAAGGCCATGAAGCCGCTTTAGCAGTTACTGCTAGGCGCGTTGCCATGACAGCCATTGCAAGGCTGCAAACTGCCACTAACAGCAGCTGAAAGGCTAGGCTCAACAGCCCTGCAAGCGTGCTCTGCCAACAAACCCAATCCACCTCCAAATTGATCCATTTACCCTTGACACAACTCAAATAATAATAATAATAATAAAAACCGAAATCGATGATTGTTTGTGGTTATAGTTGTGATATTTGTGTTTTTTAAGACAATTGGATTGATTCAATTTTGGCGAATTGTTTGTACTGTTTATATTTTGATGGAAAAGTGAGGGTTTGGTTTTGTTTGTTGGGAAGATGAAGACTTCGTTGCTGTGGAGACGAAGGGATATTTATGACCCTTTTCTTTTCATTTTTTACTAACTTTTCACATTTTGATAATTTTTTATATTTTTTTTACTTCAATCTCTATGGCTTTACATGAAAACATGCCAACAACAGCATGCCAAATGTATCTTTTTTTTTTAATCTCACATTCTTGCATAATCAGCATAAGTACAAAAAAGAATATGCTAAACACATCAATTATCTTACAATTACATACCAGCTAATGCACATCTCATATCCCCAAAGCGTACACTGGTCCAAACACCATGCTCTAACCCGTGTTTAGCAGCCTTCGCTGATGCAAGCTGCAAGCCAATGCAGTAGAAAAATAACGAAATCAGAATAAATAGAGCCCAAAGTGGGGGAGGGGGGGGGGGGGGGGGGGGGGGGGGGGGGGGGGGAGAAAGAAATCTCAGTACCTGTCTTCACTGTTTAATTGTTCAATGCAGTTAGCAGCATGTGCTGTCCTTAAGAATAAACTCCGGAGGAAATCATGTTGAAATGGCCAGAAAGCACTCTTTAAATTCCTTAAAATCTGCGCAGCATTGTATAGTATTGCAAGCAAATATAAACTGAAGCAGGCACTGCCATACATTAACCAAATAAAGAGCCTGAAAGATAGCAGCCATGCCGTGAACGTAAACAGGAACATCTCACAAAGAATCCAAACAAGACTCAGTTGCATAGAGCTTATTTGATATTTTTTCTTATATGAAGGACATTTTTGAGAATGTCGGCAATGATATACTAAACTCACACGAAATCACATTTCTATGCTTTCTCAAAATGCATATTTCCCGGGAAAACTTTAATTTGAATCTCTTTGTATATCTAATGCTAGCCTTCAATATGTCCCTCAATGATGTTCTTTTTCTATTCTATTTTATATCCCCTGCATATATCATATATTATTAATGTTGCAAAATATAAATGAATCTCTAAGCTTAACTTCAATTCAAACGCATTAAAGTGGAATTACGTACAATAGTCTCATAAATGCATATGAATTTCATGAATCTTGTGAATATTTAACATGCCTTCTTTCTGAGAAATTAGAGTATATGCATTATCAAATTAGTTAACTGACAATTATCAATTAAAGCAACTATTACATAAACATTGATCTGAAACAGCACCATATTGCATTTTTTCTTCGACTGAATCTCACAGGGAAATACTCCTGATCTAAGTATGATGATCCAACTATGGGAATAAAAAAAGAAGGAAACACAAAAATCAATAATCATTCCCAAAGTCAACTAACTCATATATGACAAAACATAATAGAAATCATTTCTAACATTTCCATGGGTAAACTGCACACATCCAAGTACCATAATGGATCTTCAGTCTTCTTTCCCTAATTTCCCTAATGTAATTTGTCATATGCTAACTGCAAATTATTAACTTTAGTTCCTTAGTACCATATTGGTCTTCCTAATAAATCTAGCAATGCAACAAACTGAAAGTGAGAGAGAAAATACAACCCTTGATCTTCCAAGACAAATGATTCCACAATTGATTTGCTCATTAGTTCCAGAAAAAAGTTATCATGACACAGATATTTGTTCACTTACCATTTACCCTTTATAAACAGAAAATAGGGAAAATGGAGAATTCAATCTTTATTTAAGAATTGAAAACACAAAAGAAAAAAATGTTTTCCGTCCTTTCATTCTCTAAATTTTATATTTATCATAAGAAAATGATATCAAACACATTTTTACTGTTTTTATTTTCAGATACTGTTTTCAGAAAATAAATATTTTACCCTTTTTATTCACACAATTTCAAATTCTGAGAACACAAAAACAAACTTCTTATTTTTTATTTTCGAATGCCTTTTTTTTTTTTTAAAAAAAAAAAACAAAAAAACAAAAACACTAAATAACATATATCTAGTATCTTAGCTTAAAAGACTTGAGGTTTGCTAAATATGGGAAAGAAAAATAATACAAATGTGAGCAAGTATATAAAAGTACCTCCGCCAACAATATTTGAACAGTCATAATGTATGGCTGATCAGAGTCCCTGCTCTTCTGCTTCTGTTATCCCCTAGGAAGACGATGGTTCAAGAGGAAATGCTATCTCCCGTCAAAATCTACAAGGCCCCACAAGCAAAGCATTTTCAGGATTTCTGAGTATATAAGCCATAGCATAACAGTAGAGCCCGAATGATGTGTCAAAACCTGCTCATGCTGTTAAGATAAATAGCTGAAAAATTCCCTTATGGTAATGTTTTCTCCAATGAGGAATATAGAATTGTTGAGAGAAGGAAGAATTCCATACTGAGTGAAGATATAGCGCTCTAGGATCTATTTAATTCCTCACATTGGTTCTCCGAAAACCCTAACATGAAATCATCAAATCAGGTATAAGAAAGCTCCACTGCCTGAAGCTACACCATACAGTTTATTAAACACATTTTGGATTTGATATAAAAGAAAACAGAAGCATATGAAGATTATGAAGAACTCTTTACATCATTCAGTACAAAGCAGGGGAGACACTTATTAGGACATTCTAGTTCTATAGGTTCTGCAGTCTGCTCATGTCATTCCTCATGTTTGCAAATTTATTTTATTCATTTTTTCCGATAGGATGCTGATTAGATTTGTATTGATAGAAATTAGAAAACTGGATCAGATTCCCCAAGAGTACAAAACGACTCCCAGCAGAGGAGAATCTGGAACTAAACAAAAATCATTCCAAATCCACTACATTACATGTTTGGTAATTTAATCTGTATCTCAGGACCAGTTCAAATGGACTTAGTTAGCTATGAGTGAAAAAGCATTACTGAGATCACACAAACAACACAAACACGCATGATAATGCTAACCTGCTGACCACTTACACTATATAAACTTCTAAGTGTCATAAAAATACACAAATGTACTCCTTCCTTCACTGCAATTCCTTTTATTTGAGTAAAACAAAAAGATTAGCTTAGAAAACATTAGCAAGAATACTAAATTAACCACTGTAAACATGTCTACCAACCTTTTTATCAAACAAATATCTCTCTATACTATCCAAAAAAAATTTCTCGTGCTGACTTCAAAGATGAGTTATAATGAGGGCAATATCCCATGGAAAGATCATCCAATCAGTCGATGAAAGCATCCACAGGAAAAGGAACTGATGAATGTGATATGATGCACATCAATTTGAGCAAACAGTAATATTTCTCAGTT